AGACTTAAGACCCTGGGAATGGAACTGAATGAGAATTTCCATGTGCAGTTTATCATTAAATTCTTGCCTCCTGAGTATGGTCCATTTCACTTGAACTACAACACTATGAAAGCAAAGTAAAATGTGAATGAACTACATTCTATGCTCATTCAAGAGGAAGTACGGCTTAAAAAAGGAGGAAATCACTCAATTTATCTCATCGATCATCAAAAAAGAGCTGTAAAGAAACCTGGAAAGAAGAATAGACAGAACAATCAAAGACCAGTAAAGATTAATGTGTCATCTGCCTCAATTCACAAAGAGGAACATAAAGAAATTAAGGGTCTGTTTGGGGCAGTTGTAGCTTATTGAATAATCTGCTGATAAGCTGATTAAAAATAAGCTGTTGATAAGCTAAGTGCGGTGGCTATTAGAAATTTTTATTTTTTTGGAAAAGTCATATCACTGCCAGAAAGTTGTCGCTGCACCAAGATAGATGCGCTGTGAAAATGCTGCTTTCAGCATTTTCAAAACACATAAGCTGTCAAAACGCAGTTTACCCAAATTGTCCAGGTACATTTTCAAAATGCCACCGCACCAAATAAGCTGTCCCAAACGGACCTTAAGCGTCATTTTTACAGAAAACCTGAACACTATCAAAATGAGTGTCAGAAGTGTAAAGACTGGTTCGAAAAGAAATGTAAACCTTGTGTTTCTGTATGTTTTAAATCAAATTTGGCTGACATTCCTTATAATACTTGTGGATTGATTCTGGTTGTACCGCTCATGTTTCTAAAATGATGCAGGGATTTTTTACAATGCAAACCATAAACCCAAATGAAAAGTTTTTCTTCATAGAAAATCGAGTCAAAACTCTAGTTGAAGTAATTGGAACCTATCGATTGATTTTAGATATTGGAAATCATTTAGACCTTTTTCAAACACTTTTTGTCCCTTTTGTTTCTCGTAATTTGATTTCATTGTCTAAATTTGATTATGTTAAATTTGATTATGTTGTGTTGGATACTCTTTTAAATTTGGGAATGGATGTTTCAGTTTGTTTAAACATAATTATCTCATTGGTTCTAGTATTCTTTGTGATGGTCTATATAAGCTTAAACTTGATAACATTTTTGTTGAGACTTTGATAACCATACATCATAAAGTTGGTACTAAACGTGATTTTATGAATGAAATTTCAGCTTATTTGTGGCATAAATGTTTGGGTCATATATCTAAAGAAAGAATTAAAAGATTGGTGAAGAATAAAATCCTTAATGATTTAGATTTTACTGATCTTTGCATCTGTGTAGATTGTATTAAGGGAAAGCATACAAAACACACACTTAAAAAAGCTGTCACAAGAAGCACACAGCTCCTTGAAATTGTACACACTGATGTTTGTGGACCTTTTGATGTTTCATATTTTGGTGGAGAAAAGTATTTTATCACCTTTATTGATGACTTTTTGTGTTATGGGTATGTCTACTTATTACATGAAAAATCTCCATCATTAGATGCCTTAAAGGTGTTTATAACTGAGGTTGAGCGATAATTAGACAGAAAAGTGAAAATTATTACGTCTGATAGAGGTGGTGAATATTATGGAAGGTACAATGAATCTGGATAATGTCCAAGTCCATTTGTTAAATTCCTTCAAATTAATAGCATATGTGCTCAATACACTATGTCAGGAACACCACAACAAAATGATAGTGTAGAAAGACAAAACCGTACTCCAATGGAAATGGTTAAGAGTATGATGAGTAATTTTTCTTTACCCTCATCATTATGGATGCATACTTTAAAGACCGTTGCATATTTAATGAACAAGATTCCTAGTAATGTAGTTCCAAAGACTCATTTTGAACTGTGAACTGAAAGAAAACCTAGTTTAAGGAAACTGTGTGTTTGGGGTTGCCTAGTGGAAATAAGGTTATATAATCCACATGAACAGAAACTAGACTCAAGAAAAACCATTGGTTTCTTCATTGGTTATCCAAAAGAATCTAAAGGGTATAGGTTTTATTGTCCTAACCATAGTACAAGAATTATTAAAGCTAGAAATGTTAAGTTCATTGAAGATGGTGAAGTTGATGGGAGTTTGGAATCACGTAAAGTGAAGATCCAAGAAATTAGTGTTCAAGTTCATTTACCCAAAATTTCTTCTTAAGTTGTTGAACAGTTTGAAAACTTACAAGAACAACAGATATATGATCAAATACTCCACAATGAAACTGTCACTAATGAGCCTACATTAGATGAAATGCATAAAGTAGTACTTAGAAAGTCTCGATGACAAAAACGGTCAATTATTTCTTATGATTATGTGGTTTATCTACACAAGTTTGAATTTGACTTTGGAGTCGATGAAGATATGGTTTCATTTTCACAAGTCATAGAAAGTGCAATTTTTTCTTAATGATTAGATGCAATAAAAGATGAGTAAAATCGATGGATCACAACAAAGTCTGGGATGTCGTTGAATTGCCTGAAGGTTGTAAAAGAGTAGGGTGTAAATGGGTCTTTAAGACTATGTGTGACTCGAATGACAATATTGAACGATATAAAACCAGACTTGTTGCCAAAGGTTTCACTCAGAAAGATGGCATCGACTATAAAGAAACATTTTCTCAAGTTTCTAAGAATAATTCATTTAGAATTATCTTGACACTAGTAGCTCATTATGATTTGGAGCTACACCAAATGGATGTGAAAACTATCTTTCTAAATGGGGATTTAGATGAAGAGGCCTACGTGAGTCAACTTGAAGGATTTTCAGTTGAAGGAAGGGAACACATGGTGTGTAAACTTAATAAATCAATATACACTATCACGTCCTTTGAATTTAAAGAAAACAATATTAATCGGTGTATATATCTGAATGTCAGTAGGAGCAAGATTATATTTCTCATCCTGTATGTTGATGTCATCTTGCTAGCTACAAATGATCTTGGCTTATTGTATGAAACCTCAAAGAACTTTGAAATGAAGGATATGAGTGAGACATCTTTTGTAATTGAAATTGAAATATTTCGTGATAGATCACAAGGATTGTTAGGGTAGTCTTAGAAAGCATATATTGATAGGGTTCTTAAGAGATTCAATATGGAATGGTGCTTTGCAAGTATTGCTCCAATTTAGGAAGGAGACAAATTTAGCCTTATGCAGTGTCTAAAGAATGATTTGGAACATAAATAAATGAAAAAAAATTCATTATGCATCTATTGTTGGAAGCTTCATGTATGCTAAAACTTGTACCAGACATTAGCTTTGTTGTGAGGATGTTGGGCAGGTATCAAAGTAATTCAGGAATAGATTATTGGAAAGTAGCAAAGAAAGTTTTGAGGTACCTGCAATGAACAAATGACCACATGCTCACTTATAGAAGATCTAATGATCTTGAAGTGATAGAATCTTTGGATTTTGTTGGATGTGTTGATACCAGAAAATCAACATTTGGTTATCTGGTTCTTTTTGGCTAAAGGGGCAATCTCATGGAAAAGTGCAAAACAGACTATCATTGTTGCATCTACTATGGAAGCTGAATTTGTGGCATGCTTCGAAGCTACAGTTAAGGGCTTATGGCTGTGGAATTTTATTTTAGAACTTTAAATTGTCGACAGTAATGCCAAGCCGTTGAAATTTTACTCTGATAACTCCACAACAGTCTTCTTTTTTAAAAACGACAGGTATTCCAAAGTTGTTAAACACATGGAGTTAAAATACATTGTCGTTAAGGAAGAAGTTTAAAAACATAAGGTGTCAATTGAACATAATGACACTAGTCTTATGATTGTGGATCCATTAACGAAAGGGTTGCCATCGAAGACATTTAACGAATATGTCGTGAGAATGAACATTGTTGAAACCCTTTATTAGCTTATGTTTAGTGTTTTCTATGTTTGATACTTCGAGCTCATTTTATTGTTGTTTTTTATATTTATATAACTTGTTTTATCGTTAGTATACATTTTATGTTGTGTAATGTTTAACAAGATTTGACTTTTAATAGACATTTTGGGACCATGATGTATTTCTCATTATGTTAAGTATGTAATTGATATTGTGATACATGGAAGGGACTGTGTCGATAAATTTATACGCAACCGTCATGATTCATATTAGTTTCATACTTATTAGTGAATTATTATTTGATCAATATAAAGAAGAATTTTAACTTATATTTTGTGCAATATGATATGCACTATTAAAAAAAATTACGTAGGCCAAGTGAGATAATACTAACCTTTTAATTGTGGTCCATGTTGCCCAAAAACCCAGTGACGTGGGTGATTTACTTTAATAATAAATGACAATTAATTAGTTAAATTATCATAAATCCTTTTTGATATGTAACCCCTTTATAGATGCAGCTACTAATGTGTGTTATTTATTTTAATTAATTAATTAAATTATCTTAAATCATTTTTATTATGTAACTCCTTTATGGATAATAGTTACTAATCTCTGTTATTTATTTTAATTAATTAATTAAATTATCTTAAATCCTTTTTGATAAGTAACCCCTTATGAATGATGGTTACTTGCATGTGTCATTTATTTTAATAATAAATATCAATTAATCAATAAAATAATCATAAATACACATAATTTGAAGAATGATCCTCTCTCTTCCTAACAATCACCATATAATATTCTCCATCATTAAGTACATAAAATTTCAGGTGATTAGAGAGAGAAACTCCATCTCCTCATATTTAATTCTACAATCATGAATACATGTATTTTTCTCTTATTGATATATGTAAAAATCATGAATTTAAAAATCTTGATCATTATATGCATAAGTGTTTTGGTCATAAAATTGGATCATAAATAAAAAGTTCTAACACTCCAAATTTAGAATTTCTCATAATTCAATCGAATCAATTGTATAATATTTATATGTTAAATTAATCAATTTTATTTAAATCACTATATATAAATTTTGAATGGAATAAGAGATCTAAAAATTAAAAGTTAGAAAGTAATTAACCTAATTAACCCTCCCTAATCCCTAGAGTTTCAGACCGCCTGTCACGCCATTTTGTTCGAGGGTTTCGATTGAACGATTTCCAGAGCTTCGAAATTTCTCCTCCCTTACCCGTCCTCTACTCCTCTCGATTTTGCTCACACGCCGGTTCGATCTCCCTGTTCCATCGCTCGGCAGTGAAGGATCCGAGCGACACGCATTGAAGCCGCGGAGCCCCGCCCCTCTTCCCCATCTTCCGTTTCCTTCACCTCTCGCAGCGATACATCTCCCGCAACTACTGCGGGATTCATATCTCATAGACTTCTCTGAGAATCAGCCTTTTTTACATCAATCGTAAGCTACTGAACTCATTTGACGATCACTTTGTTGTGCAAATAAATTGCAAGGGTATTCACTCTCAATTCAAAACTCTTTCATGCTTCCAACCATGAGTTAGCTTCAAATCAAACTCGCTCCCACTAGACAACTAGTTACACTGAGTCCAGGACATATTTTGTTTAAGAATGTCATGTATCGAACTTTTTTATTGTTGATTTTTCCCATCACATATAAATAAGGAGCCATTAGTTGAGCACTTGAATCGATATTTTTCTGTGTTTTTTGTTGAAATTCTATCTTTTTAGTCTCCCTCATATTTTGGCTTTAAGTCTGTTTTTCATTCACCCTTTTCTTTGTGAGCGGTTCAACTGGATCTTTTTTAGATTAATCCAATTGAGGAGAATCAATCAGACTCATCAGTCTCTCTTCCCTCCTTTTTAGTTTCCCCATCTCTTGTATAGCGTTGGTGTATTTCTATTGATAACATTGGATTCAATGTGTATTATATAAAATCATGGAAGTGAACTCCAAGAATATGAGAATCTAGTTCTTGTTTCTATTGAGTTTCATTCATTTAAAGACCACCTGGGCTTGACCTACAATTTCATGAAGGAAATAGGATGATTTTCTTGTAAGATCTTGTCCAATTGTTACAAGGTATATTTTCTTTCATGTGGATCTCCTCCCTATGAATGTAAAATTTTCAGGCAGTACATGAAGCATAGGAAGGTGGGAGGAAGATCAGTTGAAATAAGGATATGTTTTTTTTGCAATGCTATGAAATAACTGGATATGTTTTAGGCAAATGTTTAGCATTCTAATAGTTTTAGGCAAGAAAATGTTCAAACAGATGGGAGTGGTACTGGCTTTTATGCATCATGTATTCTAGAGTATATGTTACTGCCCTATTTGTATATTGAATATGAAATATACCTATGCAGGGGAAAGATACATACTGGCTTGCATACATCATGTGTTCTAGAGCATATATTACTGCCCTATCTTTAAATTGAATATGAAATATACCTATTCAAGGGAAGTTTACATACGTAGCACACAATTCTTATGTATTAACATACCTCAGACCTAATCTTTGATATTTACATGTATAGCACTTTGGTGCTTTAAACCTATTATGCATGAAAAGTTAGATTTAACTTTAAAAACTGGTAATAGCGTTAATTTTTATGTGATATTAAAGATTTGAGTGCTATTTGTGTAAATATGAAAGTTTAGATGTGATACATGTAAATGAAATTCTAAAAGAGTGTAGAAAACAGAGAGCATTAAGAAGGGAGCAAAACAGCAAACCAGATGACTGATTTACTTTGATTCCTTCTATTCTCCCCTTCATTAATTTCAGAAAACACAGATGCATAATATATACTATAGATGAAATAAGCCTAAGGAGAAATACACCCCTGGTTAGTTAAAGCTGGCAGCTTTTTCTATACAGGAAGTGGAGAATTAGTCTTGTAGTTTGTAATGGACCGTGTTGATTTATTTTCAGAGTGCAGTGGAGCAAGAATATTATTTGCATGACTGGTTGTTATTCCCTTAGCTGCTTTGGTGGAAGAATTTGTAAGCTTATTCGTTTTATCAGTAAATACAAAAGAATTGTGTGTCATGTATGTAAATAACACTTCTTTTTCTTAATTTGTGGATATGTGAATTGAGAAGATCAGAATGCTTTCACTTTTCATTAGTAAATAGTTTTTTTTTTCTTGAATTTGTCATTGTAGTGCATTTTTCTCCTTTGTTGATTTCTTGATTGTCTAGCAGATAACTCCCGACCAATATTTTGAATGCCTTGACCTCTAATTCATGGAGAGCGCCTCCAGTGAAGATGAAGGCTCTCTCAGAGATAATCATGTAGACCTCAACAATGAGAATATGGAACACCACTTGGCAATGGAGGGCAGCGGTCATTTCAATGATTCAGAAAGTCTTCTCCCTTCTCATGAAGAAGCCTCTGAAAATATTGAACCGTTTATTGGCATGGAATTTGAGTCTGAAGAAGCCGCAAAGGAATCCTACATGTCATATGCGAGTCGGGTTGGATTCTCCGTACGCATCAGCAAGTCTCGCCGTTCAAGGAATGACGAATCCATTATCATGAGACGTTTTGTGTGTTCCAAGGAAGGTTTTCATATGAAAAAGAGCAATTATGAAGATGGTAAGAAAAAGAGAAAGCGTGCAACCATTAGGGAAGGTTGTAATGCCATGATTGAAGTTATTCAAAAATATTATGGGAGATGGGTTGTTACTAAGCTTGTTAAGGAGCATAATCATGTTATATCAGCTCCAAGTCGTGTAAGGTACATTGCACCTGAAGAATATGCTGGCATGGAACCATTTGTTGGAATGGAGTTTTCATCTCATGAAACTGCACAAATGTTTTATTATGCTTATGCTGCTCGCACTGGATTTGATGTCCGGATTAGGCTTTCACGTCGTTCAACACGGGATGAGTCCTTTGTTATGCGACGTTTTGTATGCACCAAAGAGGGCTATAGTACATACGAGGAGAATTTTGATGACAGTAAGAAGAAAAGAAACCGAACTCCTACTAGAGAAGGCTGCAAAGCAATGTTCGAGGTGATTAAAAAGGATTCTGACCGATGGATTGTTTCTAAACTCGTCACAGAACATACACATGACCTTGTTATTGCACCTGGCAAAGTACACTACATCCAATCACAAAGTGAAGTAGTCGTTCTCGCAAAAAGTGGTGCTGTTACTCGTGAAAAATCTGCGGCACTAACAAACTCAAAGCCACGGTTTGGAGATAAAATTGGACGCTTTGATAGTCTTTCTTCAAATGATCAGGGGTCAAGGGCGGATTTAACGAATTCCTGTCAAAATTCCTTTGAATTTGAGGAGTCCCAGTTTTTATTGGAGACTTTGAAGAAGATGCAGGCTGAGAATCCTGCATTCTTTTATGCTTTTCAAGTTGATAAAAATAATTGCCTAATAAATGTATTTTGGGCTGATGCAAAAGCTAAGATGGCTTATTATTGTTTTGGTGATGCTGTAACGGTTGATACTTCACACAAGGAGAATAAGAACGTGATGCCTTTTGTAATGTTTACTGGTGTTAATCACCACTGCCAGTCGGTAACTTTTGGGTGCGCCCTGCTGACAGATGATAGTGAGGCATCATTTATCTGGCTGTTTGAAAACTGGCTTGTAGCTATGTGTGGACGCCCTCCAATTTCACTAATTACTGATCATCATGAAGCGATGGCTGCCGCAATTTCGAGTGTTTTCCCAGATGCCTGTCACCGACTTAGCCGATACCATATTTTAAGAAAATGCAGGGAAAGATTGTCCAATCTGTATTTCATTCATGGAAGCTTGGAGACTAGTTTTGAGATGGAGTTTTTGAAGTGCATTGACGAGCCAGAAACTGTTCAAGTGTTCGAGCTGCAGTGGAAGTCTATTCTGGATAAATATGACCTGGGTGAGAATACTTGGCTACAGTTCTTGCACAGCATTCGCCACAAATGGGTTCCAGTGTACCACAAAGGCACTTTTACGGCAGATATATCTTTAGCCGAAAAACCAGAAAGTTTGAGCATGTTCTTCGAAAAGTACTTCAATAAAAAAATGTCCTTGCAGGTCTTCATCAGCATCCTCGATCAGGCGATTGCTGTTTGGTATGAAAGAGAAGCACTAGAGGATTTTGCTTCATCATATACCAGACCATCATTGAAAACTCCATCAAGTTTGTTAAAGCAAGCAGCAGAAATATATACGAGAACAATATTTGATGCTTTTCAGGATGAGTTTGTAGAATCTCTAGGTTATTTCGCTGATAAAATTGAAGATGGGGTCATCAGTAAATATACTGTCACAAAAGATGTAGATGCGTGCACTTGTCTTGTGACCCATGATTCCTCGGATGAGAGGACAAGTTGTAGTTGTTTCAAATTCGAGAGGTCCGGCATCTTATGCAGGCATATCTTGAGAGTATACTTAACAGTTGATGTTCGTATTGTGCCCGAGCACTATATTTTAAAACGATGGACAAAAGATGCAAAGAATGGATTTGTTTTGGATGAATGTGCAAGGTACAGTGATCTTGTTTGTCAAGTCATTAGGTTTTCGAAGGAATAGGATCAGCATCTCCGGATGCTTTTAGTATTACAAAACATGCACTTAGTATGACTGTTTTTAGTGCTTTTAATGCAATTGTGAGATTAGGAAAGCTAGCTACCTGAAAACCAACGCCTGTAAAATAAACACTTGGACTGGTACAGCAGTGGTTGAATCAGTGATTGAATCAAGACAAGTTTTGTTTAAAAATTGTGCAGTTATTTGCGTGATTCAAGGTTTTGTTGACCACTGCCACAATATCAAAGGCAGTACCATATAAATCTGTCAGCTCAATATGAACAGAGAACAGTGTTGTTCATGTACTCAGCTTCAATGAGAACTCAACTAAGGTAACCATATGCATATTCATTCAAATTCATTTGGACAAATACAAGGAAATCTCATGCTTAAATTTTATGAGTAGAGGTAGAGGTGATCGGCGATATCAAATGTCAGGTAGATCTCTAGATCTCTAGAAATCTTCCCATCTCGAAGTTTTGAGAATGACATTTTAAGAAATCACATGACTCAAATATTGCTTAACGCTTCAATCTATGTCCTAAAGGTTTAAATCCTATGTCAAGTTCCCGATTTTGGTTTCTTTGAACACCACTTTTAGTGTCATTGGGTTTATCTCATAAGCATGTTCTATTTGACTAGAAATTTATTAAAATTTTACATTTAGTGATCCTAAGTATGATTATGAAAGTTCTGAATTGAAAATTACCTGATGATTCGTGCTTGATTAGAACTTTTCTTCGTCCCGATGTAGCATTTGTATCTTCTGATAGTGTGCCTTCATGTGTTTGAAATCTATTGAATTTTGTTCATAATACACTTTTTTGACTATTTTTTCATTTATTATGTTGTAGTGTAACCTCAAGTTGGAATGCTATTTTATTATCTTTTTTTAAGGAATGGTAAGAGATTATTATACGAGTTTCAGCCACCCCTAATGTGCCTAACAATTCGAGTACAACCTCCTTAAGGCCAACGGTGCTAGAGGGGATTTGAACCCCTGACCTGAGGAGTCTTATACCGTGGATGCCAACCAATTGGTTGGGGTTCGCGGCACAAGTTAGAATGTTATTTAATACATGTAGACAAAAGTGTTTAGTGTTTCCAAAAATTTTGGGTCTAATTAAGGCTCTTTATTAGAGTTGTTTAAAAGATGTTAACTCGTCATAGGTTATTTATCGAAGATGCTTGATCGGGCCTTGGTGGTCGATCAAACCAATTTGTCTGTCAATTGAGTCGGGGTGGCTGATCAAACTAATGTGGATGGTTGATCGGGCCTTGGTGGCCGATTAAACCAATTTGACAATTAATCGAACCTTCATGGCCGATCAAACCAAATTTGATCGGTTGATTCAGCTGAGGCGGCTAATTCAACCGAAGTGGACGATTGATCGAGCCATTGTGGCCGATTGAACCAAGTTTGATGGTTGATCGTCACTTCATGGCTGGTCGAACTAAATTTGATCGGTTGATCGAGCCGGGGCAGCTGATTGAATTGAAGTGGACAGTTGATCGAACTAAGTTGATGGCTGGTCGGTTCTTCTTGCCCGAAGTGGATGGTTGATCAGACCTTCATGACCGATCGAACCAATTTGATCTGTCAATCGAGTCAGGGTGGCCAATCAAACTAATGTTATTAATCCTTTGGTTGTTATAAACTTTTTTCCCCTATTTTGCTCCAACACTGCCTCTAGAAATTGCTTCTTCATAATTTTCCTTATTCTTTCACTTTACTGTTAACCTCACTTTCACTCCATGCTCGTCCTTCCCTCTTTTCACAAACATGTTCCTCCTTCCCCCCTTTTCACAAACCACGAATTAATCATATAATCAACTGATAATAGTGGTATTAATTTATAATGATCACATTATTTATCATAAAATTAATCATTTTAATTATGATTAAATTTATATAATCATAATTAATAATCAATTCCAGTTTCTCAATTCAAATTTACTAACCACCTATTCATATTTTGGGTGTAACTTTCTTATTATTTCCTCAGAATTTCAAGTTTTGGGATGATACAAAAAGCTAACTTAAATTTCTAGGATTTTTATGTTAATCACTTTGTTTAAGTCTTACCTTTGAGTGTTTAAAAAACTTGAGCAATAAATCTTTTTTACTCAAGTTGGCAGGAGTGTCACCTATAAATAAGGCGATTTACTTACATTTGGGTATCCTTTTTTGTTCAATTGAAGAAATAATTGTGTTTTCTTGCTTATTTTGTGTTCTACAGTGCCCTGATGGGTAAGTGAGACATGCTTCTACATTAGATGCTTTAATGCTAGTGATCTTACAATTTGGAGAAAAAGAATATACATTTTCTTATTGCCAAAGCTCTCCTTGGACTTTATCTTTCACTCTATCTTGTACAATCTCAAAATGGTGTCAGTTTCCACTATCCTTACTATCACAATGGTATCATGAGCTCTTGGAATTATTGAGCTTTTAGCTCTAAATTGGTTTTTGACCAAATTAACCTTGCTTTAGGGCATCATAGTGGTCATGGTTGTATGGTGATCATAGCCATCAAGTAAAGCCCTTTTTAGTTGTCAAAACCTGGCTCGGGGCTTATAATTTTTAATGCGGTAATGGGCATCAGACGGTGAAATTTTTATTTTTTTTTTTCATATTCTATCACTAATAGTTTACAATCCAAAAAATTTGAAAAAGCCACTAAAATGAGTATATTAAAGTAATACAGTTGATTGTATGTTCGGTGTTTTTTTATAAATATTTGTTTCTCACTTACTCGACTTTTAAACAAAAACCTAAAATATTAATTCAAAAAAAAGAGTTATAACTACTAACGAATACTTAAACTTTAAAACTAAAGTAACATAAAAAAAAAATAATAATAATATGCATGCTAGCCATAAATACAATAAACTAGCATAAAAGTATTTGATAGTTTACATTTTCAAATATGATTGTTCAAAATAGCTCAGCAGATGGAATGCATTGTACTATATCTTAATTGGTACAACTTAAACAATGCTCTTGTGAAGATTGTGTTGTATACATGTATACATACATACATACAACACAGCATTTATAAGAGCATTGTTTAAGTTGTATCAATTAAGGTATATCAATATCAATAACATTTTTAATTATGTGCCCGAATATTTTAATGACAATCATAAGGGGGTGGATTCTATCATTTAAGATGCACAAATAATCATACTGTATAACTCCTATCATCCATATGCTTATCTCATTCAATATAAGATAATCGATATATCTTTAAATAATGTGTAATTAGTTATTATGGTAGAAAAATATATCTTTCACTATGATATGATCAATAAATAAAAGACTATATAAATCAAAATAAAACTAGGGCAATTTAATTTAGCAAATATCAGTAATACCAATGTAAATGATTAAGATGAAATAAAACATTATTGGAACCTTAGAAGTAAGTATTGACCATGAAATTTTTGCCCTTATAGTCCCTAAGTTATAACTCCTTCAATTGAGCACCAATAATATAAAATTATTCATATTAATAAATTTTAATTACATTACTAATTATGCTGCTTAATTATATATATATTTTTAATTTTCTTGTTTCTTATTATGCATTACATTTATATTATTATTCCTGAATTACAAATTAAACTTTCTTAAAATTATTATTTTCAAATTTATTATTATATTATTACTTTTATGTTTTAAATTTCATATCCAACCTTATAAGATATAACATATTGCATCAAAGAAGATTTAAAATTTAACAATATTTTAAATTATAGTAATTTCAATCAAATATTAAGTTAGAACTTTACCTTTTATCTTATTGATGCCAAAATTCAGGGGAAATTATTACGTCTGGAGTCTGGACGTAGCCACAACGAACATGATATACTGATCGCGCGAGATTTGTTCTCTTTCCGACGATCGGTGTGTCCGTCCATTGTCCGGACGCATCCGGGCTCCGCAATAATTTTTCCAAATCCAGTGTCGTTCTTAGCTCGATCCGACTCAAAAATCGGTATGTGTTATCGCTTTGCTCGGGTGAGCGCTATTTACGTATGTCATATGCACGCAGTTTTGCGTGCGTATGACCCCGAATAACCTTCCAATAACTCAATTATTGGGGGTTATTGAGAAGTTATTAGGGGTATTAACCTCAATAACATCTCAATAATATCCCAATAACCCACCAATACATTGTGGTTCGACGCTTATTTTTTTCTGTCATTCGAGGGTTTTGTGAGGTTATTGGGCGTATTAACCCCAATAACAGCGACATAACCCTCCAATACCTCCCGAATAACTGTCATACGCATGCAATTCTGTGTGTGTATGACGTACGTAAATATTTTTCCACTCGGGTAATCTAGCCTCACCGACCGATGAGGTTCCCCCCACTCTTTGCTTTGTCCTTTGCTTTGTCCTTGTGCAGAAGATCATGCTGACGTCTCACTGCTTAGCTTTGACGTCGGTTATTGTCATTGCTCTTGTTCGATGTTTGCTCAAGCTTGAAATCAAAATGATGGCTTGCTAGTGATGACCCTAGACCACAAGTTGCATGTCAAACACCTTCCCTTCTCTCCCTACTTCATTGTTTCGCTCGGGTCGACGATCGATGCTCAATACTCGATGCCTACAACTCATGAAATGATGTCTTGCTAGCGATGACCCTAGACCACAAGTTGCATGTCAAAAACCCTTCCCTTCTCTTCCTGCTTCATTGTTTCACTCGGGTCGACGATCGATGCTAGATGCTCAACGCTTGCCTACAACTCATGAGTGGATGATTGTAAGCTTCGATCGATCGGGAGCTGCTCTAGACCTCATAAGAGATCCCACTTCCATCTTCTTCCTTTGGGCCGCTCAACACAGTCCTTTGGCTCTAATTTTGCCCTCTTTCACTTCAATCAAGATTGAGGTACTCGCTTTTTGCTCTCCCATGCCTCCTCTTAAAACTTGATTTGACTCCTTTCATTTGTAAGGATGGCATTACAATGAGAATAAATTTGAGTGTTACAATATTTCCTACTTATAAAACTTTCGTCCTCAAAATTTATAAATCTCCCACAAGCCATTTAAAGCATGAACTATTCAGAAAATTTCATAATAAAATCTTGTTCTTATTCATAAAGAAAAAATGTTGATAAGTAAAATACTACCCCCCACATCTGAAAGAAGATAATATAATAAGGATAATATCTCATCTCAAGTAACATAATTGAAATTGCAAACAATCTCTGAAGCAAAAATACACTAGAAAGACCCATATAACATGTATCGAAACATAACCCTCATAAGACCCTATTAGCATCAACATCAGCAACAGTAGGTTCTTTAGGCTCTATAGATGTAGTGCCTGGTCATTCGTTCCCACTTTGAAAGCCCCCGTGCTAGCTTGTGATATTAACTTTTGCTCATATTGTGGCACACTAATCCTCCTTCATAACATATTATAGAAAAAGTGGCTATCCCTTTACTTCTTTATGACATAGGTGCATCTCTTGCATAGGACACAAGATGTGGTGCAGATGTGCCTCCCGCGTCCCACACTCACGAGCGCGAGAGATGAGAGACGGATCATAAACCCTATTTTTCTTCTTTTTATGATTTCTTTCATTTTATTCTTCATTCATTTTCAAATCTTTTTTATTTATGTGTGTATTAGGGGTTGGATTGGTGTTTTAGGCTCAAATTTTTTGTTAGGACAAATGTC